ATCGGCTCGATTTGAGAAAGGGGAAAACATTTAACCAGATTAAAAAAAAAAACACTGGGTGGATTTTTATCATTATAGGGTGGTTGTGTACACACACTGCCAACACACATTTCAGTTCAAACAACTTGTAAAAGTGCATGTAGCATTCTATGACCCCTTTAAAAAAAAAAAACCTTTGCTTTCTCTTTCCTTCATCCCTCCCTGTCTAGCTTGTAATCTGAACAATATCTGAAACTTTGTATTACGAGCACTTCCTGTGTTTATTTGCCTCTTTTTTTTATTGTAAGTTGCTTTGGATAAAAGCATCTGCTAAATGAATAAATGTAAATGTAAATGTCCTTGGTTATCGCTGTAAACAAAGCAGCGCTGCGCTTATAAACACTACTTTAGTAGGCCTATGCATTATACAGAGACAAGATGAAAAGAAAATACCATCTAAACTAAACTAAACAGTCAGTTTCCCTCAGAGGTATGTATACATATGGTAACACTTTACAATAAGGTTCCATTAGTTAATATTAATGTATCAACTAACGTGAATGAACCATGAACAATACATTTTTTACAGTATCTATTAATCTTTGTTAATGTTAACGAAAATACAGTCGTTCATTGTTAGTTCATGTTAATTCACAGTTCATTAACAAGCACAACATTTGATTTCAATAATGCATTATTAAATGTTGAAATTAGCATTAAGATAATAAATGCTGTAGAAGTATTGTTCATTCTTAGTTCATGTTAAAGGGGTCATATGATGCAATTAAAATTTTTCCTTTCTCTTTAGAGTGTTACAAGCTCTTGGTGCATAAAGAAGATCTGTAAAGTTGCAAAGACTAAAGTCTCAAATCCAAAGAGATATTCTTTATAAAAGTTCAGAGTCAGTCACAGCTACCTAAAACGGCTCGTTCTAACACGCCCCCACATATCTACCTCACTATGTGGGAAGATTTGCATAACGCCGCCCAAATGTTCACACAAAGAAAGAAGGCGTAACTTTTATTCATGAAGGCGCTGTGTTTCGTTGTGAAAGCGAAACTACTTTGTTTGGTCTTCCAAAAGAGGACGATATCCGCTTCGCCATGCCTAGAGCTGATCTGTGCTGGTCGCTGAGGAAATACATCAACTTAGTGCTGTGGATCGCCAGATATGCTTTCACCGTTTTCACCGCTCCTTCATCGGATCCGCCGGGACCGCCGTTCTCGATCCCGCCGCCTCAGCTCACTCTTGCCCGGCTTCAGCTCAGGCTAAGCCGGGGCTTTCGCTCACGCTAGGCCGCTGTGTTTTTCGTTGTGAAAGCAAAACTACTTTGTTTGGTCTTCCAAAAGAGGACGATATCCGCTTCGTCATGCCTAGAGCTGATCCGTGCTGGTCGCTGAGGAAATACATCAACTTAGTGCTGTGGATCGCCGGATTGGCTTTCACCGTTTTCACCGCTCCTTTGCCGGGACCGCCGTTCTCGACCCCGCCGCCTCAGCTCACTCTTGCCCGGCAGCGTGCTAACAAATGTCTATACATACATACATGTGTACACACAAACACACTTTTTCAAATATTAATGTTATTCATGTTTTTAGACTAGTCAGTCACTGAATAATGATTTTTTTTCAATCACTTCAAACTTTTTTCAATATATATATTTTATATACAATAAAATACAGTATACAACAGTAATTACATTATTTTTTTACATATAAAATCGAATAAAGCCTGTCAAATTCATATTTATTTTCATATTTTGACTATTATTCACAGCTGGTACCTGAACAGTTCATAGTAACAATTCCCTGCTACTGAACTTTTAGACAGATTTAAAGGGATATTCAGGTTATGAAATATTATTACTCTTTTAATCTATTGACCTGGCTCTTAATCCAAATTGGAGAAAACGAGGGAGGCCATATTTGTTCCATTTACGCGTGTCTCGTCCTGCGCTTCTGTTAATCCTGCTGTTGATGGTGTGATATCTAACATCTGCTCATTTCAGAAATGGATTAGAGGAGCATTTCTTCTTCCATACAGTGCTGTTGCAGTCGTTTAGCTCACTTTCTGGTTTTCTGTTTGGGATTTTTACATAAGCCCAATATGTTCTGAAACAGTATGCATTTGATATCTGAACATAATCGCATTGTGTGAATAGTGTTGAGAGTGTTTAGCGACAGAACTTTAAGAACTTCAGTCATAATCTGTTTTGGTCTTTTGGTTATGGGCTCCAAACTGAGTGAACGTTTAAAAGCCACTACTTTCAGTAATGCACAGCATCATTATCATATATTTTAGAGCAGAAACCTTCTGGAACCTGATAGTGTGGAACCTTATTAAGAGCAGAACCTTACAGTGCTGAATCAAATGGAGCAGAACCCAGAGCAAAAACGTGTTCACCCAAAAATGAAAGTTTGCTGACCCTCAGGCCATCCAAGATGAGTTTGTTTGTTCAATAGAACAGTAAAGAAGATTCATGTCACTTTGAGAGTCAAATAAAGCATATCAAGGAAAATTAACACCCATCCTGTGCAAGAAACCGAACATTATTACCTGTAAGTCTCAGGCAAACTACTTTAGGAGAGTTTTATATTTCTCATTCGCAGTGCTTCATGGGATTGTAGTTCTTTCCTTCACTAAAGCCATTAAGTACACAGTCTTGTACCTGTGTCTTTTTGCCTGATTGAGGTTTGTAATGTTGTGATTCACCTCGTAGCTGGTTCATGGCTTATAGCGCTTTAACAAAGACTTTTTAAAAATCCCTATGGGAAAAATGAATAGGATAAAATACTTGTGGAACCAGCACCACTGAAAAGGGGGGAAGACACTGTTACATTCTCTATGCGTCGCTTATAATAAGTGCACATGGCAACACTTGAAGAGCAGTCTTCTAAACATGATCAAAACACGACGCCTCTGTCGACAGGGGTTTAATTAAAATAGCCAATCACAACGAGTTCATGTATTATTACTTTGGTCAAAAAATAGCGGATAACAAACGCACAAGATGCCAGAACGTTGCTATGATTTCCACTGTGTCAATCATTGCATTCTTGGAAGCGAGTTCTATTTTAGGGGATTCACTGCATGTTTAAATGCGGTTGTCACACCAGAAACTTCACATGTGTATGTTGCCATAGATTGGAATCTTGAACGCTGCAGAGGGAACCACTAGAATGTTTTCCTCTAGAATCCTATAGAATTATGAAGAACAGCCCTTTCGACCGAACCCAATAGGACAGAGCAAACCTTGGCTCAGTCAGGTGCTGTCAGTATGTGAGGATGTTTGAAACGCTCACATGCAGCACGTTAGACGAGCACCATCAGTCACAACAGACTCGAGCCACTCCGAACACTCGAGGGCAGCGTACATCCTTTGCTGCTTCATCTTTTGTAATACACATGTGACCGTGTGATCTCTGACTGCTGTGTGAGTCACGTTGTGTGTTTGTCTTTTTGAGTTGTGTGTTTGCAGAAAAAGCGTGTGTGTGCGTGTTTATGCAAGTGTGTGTGATCTCTCTCGTGGTTAAACTCGCTCCCATCTGTCCTCTGTGTGTGTGTGTGGGAATCCTTACGCAAACTATATGCTAGTTTAAGGAACACTGTTCTGTCTAGGGATCTTCTGCAGCAGGGTTTATGAAAGACTGGTAGATTAAAGACGTCCTGTATAATTAGGCTGGCTGTGTTGTGTTTTTGAACATCTGTCTGTATGTGGCAGTGCATTAAAGGAGATTAATTTAAAATATTGGCTTAAGGTTTTTAAGTACAAAATGGCACATGCACGTACAGGGAATAAAAAAAAAAAAATGATGATAATAGATGGAGTTAAAGACAAGGTGCAAATCAATTGCATTATTTCTATAGCATTTTTCAGGGTCTCTCTTCAACAATATAACATTATTATTTTCTATTTTAAAATAGTTTTATTATTGTTGTTGTTGTTATGCTTATTACCTGGATGTTGTTTATTACCCAGCTAAGACATCTACTAGTTTATTTTATTTAATTTTATTCAAAATATAACATTATTATTTTCTATTTTAAAATAGTTTTATTATTGTTGTTATTGTTATTATTACCTGCATGTTGTCTATACTTATTACTTAGCTAAGACATCTACTAGTTATTTTATTTTATTCACAATATAACATTAATTTCTATTTTAAAATAGTTTTATTGTTGTTGTTGTTGTTGTTATTACCTGCATGTTGTCTATACTTATTACCCAGCTAAGACATCTACTATTTATTTATTTATTTATATCACTGCAAGTATATTTTATTTATATAGAACTTTGCAGAATGGACATTATTCCAAAGCAGCTTTACAGATAAATATTGCAGGATTAATGTCTTAAAGAAAAATAGAAAATTATACCTTAATATATTTGTTTGTGTCCCAGTCTGCATGCTTTGTCTTAAATGCTATACAAGATTACTGTTAATGTCTCAATTCATAGTATGCATTTTTGCATGCATTTTTGCGTCGGAGGTGTTTAATGTAATTTTTGTAATACTTTAAATATAATATTTGTTGTGCGTGTTTTAAGTGTGTATCCATGCATGCATTTGTGGCTAATACTACTCACAAGCCCTTGCATTACAGGAGTTTTTGACAGTACTTTTTTACTTTTTCAGTGGCAAAGAATGCAAGGGAATTTTTGAATTTGTAAACCTAAAAGTTACACTGAATACTGAGCAAGCAATGCATTTATTTAGATACTAATGCAAACAGTATGTGACAAAGTGTTGAGTAATAATGCATTATCAAGGACATTTGTTGCAATACTGGCATACTGACCCATAAGTAACTAGTTGCATTTGTGAATTGAGATGATTTGTTATCAGAAACCAATTCTATTCAAATTAATTTAAATCTTCATCAGGCTCTATGAAATGACCTTAAGCGATTTTGATGGGAACAGATAATGATGTGGTTGTGAATAATTAGTTGAAATCATTAAATGGAACGAGATACACCTGTGTGTAACGACAGATCTACCTACTTTATGTCCGCAGGTTCCTCATGGTCCTAGTGTGCCTGATATTCAGCGTCCTGTCCACCATTGAGCAGCATGCAGACTTCGCAACAGGCTGTCTCTTCTGGATGGTAACCGTTTCACAAGATATCAAATTTTTTAAATTTTTTAATTTTTCATTTCATTTCATTTCAGCGCATTTCATTTAATTTAATCTCAGCTCATTTCACTTTTAATTTCAGCAGAAAATGTCAAGTGTTTGTTTCTCTTACTGGATGACAGGTATTGACTGATTTGTGTCTGGTTTTATTACTTGGAAAAGATACGATTTTTAAATCAATTTTGAACAGTACAACCGATTCAAAACAAAAGAAGCACTTGAAATTCTAGATTTCAAATAAAAAATCCATATTTCCCATCAAGCTGTTCCACATTCTTTTATATAGCGCTATACGTTGAAATGAATAGGTTACAATAAATGAGTTTAAGATTTAAAAAAAAAAAATTCAGTTAACATCAAACAGAGCTAATCAGCGCACGTCTGGCGTAACCAGCCTCAGATTTTCTCTCCAAATATGGCCTCGTGAATACACATTATGATAATTTAAGCTGAGAGCTCCCGTTTCAGTGATCTGGCTTTATGAGTTAAATCCAACCAGTTCACGCACACATTTTCTCAATCACTTCACCATTGACGTACGTCTTGTGAAAGGGCTGAAGTTCTCAGTGGATCAGGCATGGTTGGGCTGATTCACATGCACTCATGGACTTAGGGAAGGTTTGCCTTATAAGGTGCTTTTATACTCCATGACACTCGCCACGTAAACCGTGTTCATTTCAACCAGTTTAAAAGTCTCATTCATCCTGAGATGATATATTGCACCAAAGATGTACCAAAAAAATGTATACAAAGTTTGTCATCAGGTTTTGATTCCTCCGGACTGACTGAAAATAAAATAAATAAAATAGACATAAATAGACAATCTTTTGGGGATCCTTGAAATAATCAGGAACTCAGCAGGAAGTCATTTTCCGAGAGATAAAAAAAACAAACATCCTACATGTTGTACTTCTCTTAATTAATTAATTCATTTTATTCACTCATGCAGTCATTTTTGATTTTTCATTTATTCATTCCGAAAAATTGACCCTTAAGACTGGTTTTGTGGTCCAGGGTCACATTTGTCACACCACAGCACTATTTAAGTAAATTAGCAATAGCAAAAGGTAAATGGTGACCAGATCTTAGGACATTGCTAAAATGTTCACCTAATGCCAAACACACACCTTATTAATTTACGTTTATATACATTTTAACCTAAAATCTTGGAAATAGGTTAATCTATGTTATTTGCCTATTTTCCCCCGATTCAGGAGCTGATCACCACACTGTACATTGGGTTCCTGGGTCTGATCTTCTCGTCGTATTTTGTGTATCTGGCGGAGAAGGACGCAGTAGACGAGGAGGGGAAGACAGATTTTTCTAGCTATGCTGATGCTCTGTGGTGGGGTGTGGTGAGTTTATTCTTCTTCGTTGGAAATCGGAGTTATTGGAGTTGACGAGCAGTGAACACATTGCTGACAAGACCAGCTTAGACTAGTTTCCATTTGATGACTGACTGAGGAAGTCTTGCTGGTTAATCTAGTTGGTCTGTTTGAAGACCTTAAAGTATTGCTTTTTACATCAATCACGGTCTACCATAAATCATTTGAGTAGTTCACCGTTAGGTGTGTTTGTGGTTTTTATATAATTAAAATCTACTATATTGCCCTCTGGAGATCTGGCATTGCCTCATACACGGCTAATCATGAAGTTTCTCGTCTGTAGAGAACTTTCAAGTTTGAATGTATATCAAGTAAGTTTTTAACATATGCCCATGTTCTCCACCACATATGTGAGCCTGGAGCACAAAAGCAGTCTTAAGTCGCTGGGGTATATTTGTAGCAATAGCCAAAAATACATTGTATGGGTCAAAATTATAGATTTTTCTTTTATGCCAAAAATCATTAGGATATTAAGTAAAGATCGTGTTCCATGAAGATATTTAGTAAATTTCCTACCGTAAATATATCAAAACTTAATTTTTGATTAGTAATATGCATTGCTAAGGACTTAATTTGGACAACTTTAAAGATGATTTTCTCAATATTTTGATTTTTTTGCACCCTCAGATTCCAGATTTTTAAATAGTTGTATCTCGGCCAAATATTGTCCTATCCTAACAAACCATACATCAGTGGAAAGCTTATTTATTCAGCTTTCAGGTGATGTATAAATCTCAATTTCGAAAAATTGACCCTTATGACCGGTTTTGTGGTCCAGGGTCACATTTCATGATGCATGGTGAGATTGCATTCTAAATTAAAGGATATACTAGCTTATATGGTATTCTTATGCTGCTATTATGTCAGGCATGTACCTTAAAAAGCTGCCTACTTAGGGAGCACACTAGGTTTTGGAACAGGGCCTCAGTGTGGATTGTTGTGGTGTTATATGTCAGTGCTAGTTGAACAGTAATGCACTGTGTCTCAAATAGTGTATATTTTATATCAGGTCTGGTGATTTTCGGGTCTTGCTTTGGGATGGTGAACCGAAACTTTAATTGAGGCTCTAAAATGCGTTTAAATGTCCAGTTATTTTCTTTCTGTCGTATTGCAAACCACACAAGAAAAGAGGGTCATAAAGCATCCAGCTACCCACTCGAAAGTCTGTTGGAATCGGTCCTGGATGAAGTGTAGAGTGCAGTTAATTAAAAAGCTGAATTCAGTGTGAACCGTAATGAGAAACCAATCATACAGCTGTACGGGGAATCTGAGAGCCACAAAAGCTCGGCCAATGTCCCTTTCACCTCTGGCTCAAAGAGCTTTCTCCTCTGTGCCGTAAAGTGTCGGATCCGTTAATTAAACCTTTAATTGCGGAGGCTCTACCTTTCTGTGAAGAGGGTCAGAAAGCGTATGGCCACCCGTCGGCCCTCGAATCTCAGACAAAAGCAGTTGTTTGTATGGAGGAGGTGGCATTGAGAAACCCTCGACGGGGGTCGCTTGCTTTTGTCACTGTGAAGTCTATAAAACGTAAGATTGAAGAGAGGAATTACAAATGGAATCGACTTGAACTTGGAAATGAAAAACTGAGCAGTGGATTGAAGAAACTAGCCCAGAGCAGAGCTTTATTGCTCAGAGTTTGCTCTTTCATTGCTCAGGAGATTAATGGTGTCCCCGACGTGCTTTATTTACATATTCACTTTTGTCTCCGATGTTTCTCCGACATGACCAAACAGTTATATAACTGTTATATAAAGCGTAATAAAACCAGACATAACAATAATAGTCAATAATTGTCGTACAGTGAGAGTATAGTGGTATAGCATTAATGTGGATAGCATGCTGAGATCATCTTGAGAACAATTTGAGACATTGAGATCTCTTCTAAATCTTTTAAATTTACGCATGTGAGATTACCGGGGTTTTTTTCTCTGGAGAAATGTAAGCAGACGTCTCTTGTTCTGAATCTCATAGTATCGGGACTTTAAAGAGATCTCAATTGTGTGTTTTTTTTCTTTCTTTTGGGACAGGGTGAGAAAAGGGGAACCGTTTGGTTTCTGTTCTGTGTTTTTCTTTTCTGGAGTTGCAGGTGCAGACCACAGCTGGCGCGACACATCCAGAGCCGCATGATGAAATGACATGAATCATAACCGCTCTCCTAGACGTGCAGCGCCTCGCTAACTTAACAAAGCTGCTGCTGTGTCCTCTGGCCTCTTGTTTTCTTTTAAGAAGGGAGATGAATGTTTGTTTGTGCATAATTTCCAAACGTTTTCAAAAAAAACTTGGGAGAAGCTTAAATGATTGATTAAAGAACTTTAAAGATTAAGGATAAGCAGTCAACAGTTTGGACGCACTTAGCTAAAAACTAAGCCTTGTTTAATGCCTGAAATAAGACAAAATATAAGTTATCAACAGATCAGATTGATCTTGTGCTTGATGCTAATTGGTTAATACAGCGTTCCACACATGCAAAAATATACACGATACACTAGTAGCTATATTTCTCTTAAACATGTCAGAAAGCATTAATCTTGACTGAAAAAGAAGAAGAGCACAAGCAGATACATTTAGTAAGATTAAAGACAAGACAGAAAAAAACTAGAGCTGTAATCGCAACCCACACGCTTGGAATACCACACACACACACACACTGAGATGTTAGCTTTGGTTTTGCCACACACGTAGAGCATCGATTGAACTCTGTGACTCAGTAACTCGACATGAGTCAGTCAGTCAGTTGGTTGGAGAATATTAGGGGTCCCGAAGTCACACACACACAAACACACATAGTATGGGGCGCCACCCATGGCACTTGAATCCCTCTTGTCGCGGCCTTTGTGGTCTTTTGGATGTTCAGTGGTGGGATTAAACCCTCTCGCCACCCGAAGCACTTGTTTGACGCCTCGTCCTACTTTAGCTCTTTTTGTCCGTCTTGAATGGAAAGAACGCAAACACACCTCGTCACCAGAAAGCCCTCTCGAATGGACTACGCTTTCACTTTTTCACAGGCCTGTTTGTTTCCTGTGTTAGCTAAAATCCGAAGTTTTTTGCTGGATTAGGGGAAAAACGAACCGAGCATGAACTTCAATAGACGTCTTAGACAAAAATCCTTAAAGGGGTCCTATTATGCTCTTTCACTTTTTCAAGAGAGCCTGTTCTAGTACACCCCCAAAATAAAATCAAGACTTTGTAAAAAGAGCATAATAGGACCCCTTTAAATAAGACACGTCCGCCATTTCCATAGATACACTTTGATTTGATGTGCTTCTGAAATGAAAATAAACCATGTTGTGTAGACGTATTCTGTTTTGGTCAAGAAATTTTTTTTTTAATTTTACATTTTTGGGAAAAAAACAAATGTGTTTGCCCATGCAAAACTAGCTGCCAGTGTCTTATAGGTAGTCAGAGCATTGCTATTTGGTTGCCAGGGTGTTCTCGATGTTTTTTTTTTTAGCCCATTTCTTTGCGGTTTCTGAGATGTTTTTTAATGTGTTGCAGTACTTTATGAGCTATGGTTGCTAGGGTGTTTTGGGAGGACTATGGATTTGCTAAACTGTTTAAAATGCATTGTGGTGTGGTTTAAGGTTAAAATAGTTTTTAGCATGTTGCTAGGTGCTAGCTGGTTTGGCTGGTTGCTAGGGTGTTCTAGGGTTTGACAGGGCGTATGTTGCTACAGTGTTCTGAGTGTTTTTTTTTGTTTTTTTTTAGTGGGTTGCTATAGCATTCTGGGTGCTAGGGTTGCTAGGGTGTTCTTGGAGGTTGCCAGTGGTTTAAGGTGGATGTTGCTAGGTGCTAGCTGTTTTGGTTGGTTGCTAGGGTGTTCTTGATGGGTGCTAGATGCTTATTAAGCATAACTAAATGGCAGCTCTAGCTGGTTTCTAGGGCGTTGTTAGGCTCTTCTGTCACTAAATTGTTGGCAGTGTTTTTTTTTGTTTTTTTTTTAGTTGCTAGTGTGTTCTAGGGTTTGCCAGGGCATTTCTGTGCTGTTGCTGAAGCATTCAAAGTGGACTTTTAGTGAATTGCATGTTGGTATGGTGTTCTGGGTGTTTTTTTTTTAGTCGGTTGCTAGGCTATAGCATTCTGGGAGCTAGGGTGTTCTTGGAGGTTGCCAGGACAATATGGGGTTGCTAAACTGTTTAAAAAGGCGTCTTTAGTGCATCATGATGTGGTTTAAGGTGGTTAAAATAGTTTTTAGCTAGGTGCTAGCTGTTTTGGTGCTAGCCGTTGTGATTGGGCTGTTTTTCTTTCAGTATGGGAGTTGTATTTAGTGTGTTGCTATGCAGTTGCTAGCTTGTTCTAGGGTTTGCCAGGGCATTTCTATTCAGTTGCTAAAGCATTAAAGTGGATTTTAGTGGATTGCAAGTTGCTAAGGTGCTCTGAGTGGTTTATAGCATGTTGCTAGGGTGTTCTGGGTGGTTGCTAGGTGTTGTCTCTTTTTATCACATCTTTGCAAACACCATTAAAATTATGAATGTGAATCCCAAACTCTGTTTTTCTCTTAGGTTACGGTGACTACGATAGGCTACGGAGACAAAATCCCTCAGACGTGGATTGGGAAGGCCATCGCCTCCTGCTTTAGTGTGTTTGCGATTTCCTTCTTCGCTCTGCCTGCGGTAAACACACTGCCTCCTGTCTTTCTCTTAGCACACACACACATTCTCTGAGCTTGTCTGGCGCCCCGGGGCAGTGTTTTCCTATAGAGGCCCTCCAGTAATGGGGTCCAGGGTTAATGTGATCCATTTAAGAGTGATAGGGCCTCCAGGGGCCCGCGGTCCTCATGTTACACATTATATAACATGCATCTGCAACATTAGTATCAAGCACAATTGACAAATCAGAGCTACTGCAGTTCATAAAATTTTAATTCTTACATATACATATATATATATATATATATACATATATATATGTATATATATATATAGATATACAG